ACCTGTTGTTGGTGGCTACGATGTATTCATGTTGTTTTTCTTTTTTTTTTTCTCTTTATTTTTATTTTTGCTTGATTTGATCATTTCGCAGTCCGCCGCGCTGCCGCAAAATCAAAAGCAGCAAGAAGATGAAGAAGAAGCAGCGCCCTGTGCTTACTTTTGATTGACAATTGCAACTGTGTGTGAGGGAGGGGGAGGGCTTTGCGAATAAGACGGTGTGTGGTGCCTACTTGGTGTTAGTGTGTGTGCGGGGGGTGGCGACGACGAAGCTGCCGCAATTATTTGATTATTGTACGTTTTATTTTTTTGTATTTTTACTCTTACGCTGCCCGCGCTGACGTCGCGGTTTTTAATACCTAATAAGAGAGGAAATTAAAAGGTATCCATCAGAGTTTGATGTATGTAAGATTTTACTTATGGCCTTTACAAAATCTTTAAGTTTATTTCTTGTAATTTTTAATTAATTAATCACATCTACATTTCCCTAAATCCTTTTAGGGATAATTTATCTCAGCATCTATACAATATAGGAAGCCTTACAAATTGGTATAACAAATTCTATAAAAAACCTCAAACCTTAATTATAATTAGTAATTGATAAATTTGATTTTATGATTATTGAAATATTGGCTAAGGAGTGTAGATAATTTGGCAGCTCCTGAAAGTATGCAGTGATAGTGGTTTACCGGGTATTCAATAGTCGAATCTCCCCCGGCTCTATCATTCTTACTTGTTTTTGCCCCGCTCGGTCGCTTCTTCGTTTTCCTTTCGCACACACACAGCACACACACCGTACTCACACACCGGAGCACACACGCTCTGAATGAATTTCGCTGGTCGCCTCGTCTAGTTGCCTTAAATGTTTCAGTCGCGTCGGTTGTCGATAGCCGCTTTTTTTCGATTCTTCGCTTTTCCCATCGCCCGCGAGCCTTTTTTTATTTCTCGCCGTGCATTTTCAATTGTTGCGTTTGCCTGTGATTCGCCAATATCAATACGACAATAACGGCAGTGCGTCAATACCTGCGTGCAATGCAAATGAGCGGGACAGACAGATGAGGTGGGATGCGTGTGGTCACAATTAAACTTGGGTACGTCTCTCTTTCCTTGCTGTTCACCGTTCACCGTTGCTCCCCGTTTGTGATTTTCTACTCTCTTTCGGTGACTTTTATCGGGCATTCGTTGTTCGCTGGAATTTCGGAATCTTTTCCGTGAATTTGACGTATCACACTTGCGCACCGCACCGCTGTAAAGCGCGCTGCTTGCTAATAAATTATAAACAATTGCTAAGTGGGCGAGTGTGCTTAGTGCTTTTTTGCTTTTTGCAATGGGATGACGTCGTCACGTGGGGAATGACGGAATGGCAAACGGACAGACGGAACGACTGACTGGTGGACAGATGTGTGGACTTTGTGGCGCCGTTTTTGTGCCGCACCTCGTTTATTGTAGCTCTCGGTTCGTTTTGCTCTCTGTGTGTTTGTGTGTGTGTGGGTGGGTGTTTTATAATTTTTTGCTTGTGTCTCTTCTCATTTTAATGTATTTTTGTTTTATTCAGTCAGTCACTCAGTCAATCGCGAAATGCACTTGTGACGTAGGCGATAGCGTGTGCCCAATATTTGCGTCAACTTATCAATCTCATGCAGGCCTTTATACACTTGACAAAAATAAGATAACCTATCTGTATTTACTTGGAACTTGAGAATATTTACAATATTCCATTTAAATTAAGATATGGGAATTTTTAGTTCAGAGAAAACCCTTGGAATTTTAAATACAACACCTACAAATTTTCAGGCAATAAGATATTAAAATACAAAACATACACATTTCTTTAGCTACAAAAATGTCCATGATTTTATTTGTAAAATTTGTAAAATTAAAAAAAAAGCAATAACTGCAATTTTTCCAGTGCATCCCTATATCATTGCCTGATAATTTGCTATAGCTTTATTTATTGCACTTTGAACAGGAGCAATTGTTTTTCGCCTGGCGCTGGCTTAATAAAAATGCATGTAAATGAGAATGCAAATTATTCAGTTTATGCATATAGCAAAAGCATTCCCCTTGTGTTTCACATTTACTTGATATTTTCACGCCTTGAAATGCTGGCAAACCAACGTAATTAGAACTGAAATTGTTAAACTAAAATTCGTGATAAGGAAAATGTCATTTAAATATTTACTTCACGCCTGTGCCAAATGGATTTACTTACGGAAAATAGCCAAGTGATGTAAAAGAAAGTTTTTGAGAAGCTTCACAGCTTGAAGTAGATTTGTACATTGTTCTCAGTGTATTTGGAGGGTATCTTGGCATATGAGTCTTCTGGTTTTTAATTGCTTCTTGGGTCTTTAAAAGCTCCCCATTCTGATTAGCTTATCTGTAATATTCTAGCTTGATTTTATTATATTGTTGTGACTGTTGGTTGACTTTAGTTAGCTGTATCATTTAGTTTAAGTTGTTGTTAATGTACAGCTGAACTTTTTAGTAATGCAAAATGACTGAAACCTTAGTGCTAAAACTATTTATAAAAATGCTTCATAAAAATGCCTCAAAATTAGAAAAATATTTCCATAAATTGAGGATTTTTTGACTCATTATAATCCTCTGAATTCTGTTAATTTAATTTAATAATTAATTTATAAAATAAAGTGTTTTGTTTATTTAGTCAAGCCCAAAATTAATTATTTTCGCTGCCCTGTTCCGCTTTTGTTTTTATTAGCAACAAACAAAACGAAATTCCATATAATCGCCTAACTAGTCGTCGCTTTGCAGCACATATTTCAATTGTGGCGCAGTTTGACGCCTTGTAATTGACCTACTCATTCGTTTATTAATAAGTTAAGTACATATACACATATTTCCTACACGTGATTATGTAATTAGGATTTGGATCCCCGAGCAGCTAATCGCCAACAGAAGCAGCAAACAGGCGCCGTCGACGAATGCCACTTTAATTGCCCAATAAGCTGACAATCTGACAGCTAAAATAAATACATGTATATAGTATATGTATATCGGATAACTGACGTCAACGCGTCTGCAGTCCGGCAAATTCCCAATCAGTTTGGTTACAATGGGGTTCGCTTATCGGGGGGCTTTGTTTCTGACTCAGGCGCACGATAGTACCCCACTGATAACCGATAATGATAATGAATCTGGCAAATACTCGCACATTTCAAAAATATATTATACCCCCACTATTTTCAGCTGTACGTATGTACGTATACGTAATACGTATATACAGCTTGGCATTATCAATGGAACTTTTAGGCAATTCTTTTTTTTTTTTTTTTGTATTATTATTTTTGCGGTCGCACGGCTCGAAAGCCCTATAACTGCTGATAACGAATTGAGTAAACACACTGGGGCGAGACGAGAGCCGTATGCGATCGTATAAAGCCGTATAATGTGTATAATAATAACGCTGAATGCTAAACAGTCGCAGTCGAGTCAATTAACGCGACCCAACTCGGTTGCCAGTGAGTTTTTCAGCCATCCATTGGGCCTCTGTGTATATATGTATACATATGTACATATGTGATTGTGATTTGAGAACTGCCCCGGCTTACTAATCGCCCGACAAGCTAGTCATATAATATATACACAAAAAAACAGTGAGACTCATAATCTTAGAAGCAGTGAAAACGGTGACAAAGAATGTGATACGGGTATTTACCTTTTTAAATGTTTGATTACAAAAGTAAAAAGAACTTGAAAATGTTGAAGTAATCAATTTAAAGCTTTCTTGATAATTTATAAATTATTTGCCATTCTTCAATTACGTTGAAATCACTATAATTCCCAATAGGTTCTGATTATGTTTAGTAATTTGTATAGGAAAGTTCCTGTCAAACATAATTATATTTAAAATATCCTGGTATATCAATTATAATCGTTTTATTAATATACTTAAGCTTTAGCAATGTAAAATAAGCTATAAACGTTATAATTTCCAAATAATTAAAGCGTTGGTGAAGTAATATTTGTTGGCTAATGGAACCTAATGACTGCAGTTTACGTATTTTAATTTATTTAATCCTCGGACTATATATCACTGATACGCACTGTTGTCACACATTCTGAATTCCATGTGTGCAAGTTCTGTGATAAGGTAGCCCCCAACAACAACGAATACAACAACAATAACACCAATAACCACAACAACAGCGACAGCAACAGTCATTACACTTCACTTGTCACTTCTCTTGGATTTTCGCTTTATTTTTTTGGTCGCCTATCGTCGTCTGGCTTGTTATATTTATTTTCCTTTTTTATTTTTTTGTGTGGTTGTATATGTGTGTGCAACAGGTGGGGCTTAACCTTAACTAAATTCAATTTGTTGACTTTTTTTCTGCTGCCGCCGTCGCCGGGGATTCAAAATAGAAAGTTGATAAAAGAAACACACAAAAAACATACGAAATATTTGTGCCATTATGCTTTATCGATGCGATGTGTTGACACGTTCACAGTGTCGCGGAAATTGATTTTCAATGGGAATTTGGCGATTTGTGATTCACCTGAAGCTCTGCGGGATTGATAGCCATTTCCTCGGGAAAATGAGCGTTTAGTATCTGTGGAATTCTATCGCTGACGATAAGATTGAGTCCCCAATTAGAGCTGATAGTGTGTGTTCGAAATAGTAATACATATATGTTAATAAGGGGTTTGAGTTTTTTTTGGGAGGGGGAAATGTCATGGGAAATCCAAAGGCCAAAAGCAAGTGCATTTCAATTATTCACACTGCTAAAGGGTATACATATTAGCCGAGAGTAAATATTTAATTACATAGGAAAAGCGGCCAAGTTCGTGGCCAGCAGGAATAAACAGTTCCTTTCCTGCGACCAAAACGGGTTGTAAGCAGTTATCCTAAGTCACTGTGCAGAAATATGTGGTTAAGCAGCCAAAGCATGGTTATAACAATTAGCATTAACTCTAAAATTAAATTATGCGGTTAACATTAAATTAATGCTTGAATGTCTTTTCTCTCTCGTTTGTTTCTTTAG